TCGACCCATCGAAAAATTTCTTCACAAGATCAATTACCCCCTTCCCCAATCACCGAAAAAAAGTGTTCTATAAATCATCCACGAGATTACTCAACAGGGGATAATAAGTCCTAAATTACACAAATGAGCACTTAAGCTAACCAAGTTCATGCCACTACACTTCCTGATTGGTTTAACCTGATTGTGGTGTGTTTAAGTGATTAACAATGATTCCTTCACATTGAGGAGCAAAGTGGAAAGGAGAGCAATAATGCAGAGATGGGAAAAAAGTGAGAATGGGTGGAGAAGCAGAAAGAAACAGAGGGTAGGGGTAGAACAAAGAAGTAGAAGGGAAAGAGGGGAGAAATCTAAAAATTAGAAAGTGAAGGAGTTAGGTAGGTAGGTAGGTAGGTAGGTAGGTAGGTAGGTAGGTAGGTAGGTAGGTACAATGTTTGTCAGGAAACAGGACAAGTGTTTCCTGACGCGGGTCTTAGTATATGATGACCCACAGCTGGAGTTTTTGGTCATCTGATCGAGGACTTCCGCTGGTTTACCGGTCCACCTCTTTAAAAATCGTGATTGTGATTATAACCATTACTTATTTCCCCTGTACAGAAATTAGGGAGAAGTTAGAGATTTGGAAGGTCTAAGCCTGTATAGAAGGGGACATACAGATGTCTACCAACCTTCTATAATACGGTAGTACCTCCCTGGATGATTGATGTCTACCAACCTTCTATAGTACGGTAGTACCTCCCTGGATGATTGCTGTCTACCAGCCTTCTATAATACGGTAGTACCTCCCTGGATGATTGCTGTCTACCAACCTTCTATAGTACGGTAGTACCTCCCTGGATGATTGCTGTCTACCAACCTTCTATAATACGGTAGTACCTCCCTGGATGATTGCTGTCTACCAACCTTCTATAGTACGGTAGTACCTCCCTGGATGATTGCTGTCTACCAGCCTTCTATAATACGGTAGTACCTCCCTGGATGATTGCTGTCTATCAGCCTTCTACCTGGGGTCGGAATGAATGAATTCAAACCCCAGCCATGCAAGCTTATTTATTCACAATTAACCCACACTTGCGAGTGGAAATTTCTTACGACTTCTCGGGTAGTCTTTTACAACTGCCAAGTCACAATATTTTCCTCACGTTGACCTACATCTTGTGAGCGATGTAGTTAGCTAATTAGTTAATTACGCAAATATTTCTCTTCATGCTATCTTTATGAGTTACCATAAAGTTACCTGAAGTGATATCGCAGTTAATATTGTTTAGTGGTAGTAGTAATATCAGTAAAGGTAGTATATAAAGCCGTGCTACCGACAGTAATAACAAAATACGTACAGAATAAGATTTTGTGACAGTTTCGCTCTATGTAGAGCTTTATAAAGCCTGCACACACAGCGAGAGCGCCTCTATAAAAACTTGTCATGCACTTTTTTGACATTACACTTAGAAAAGATTTTAAAGAGCAATAGCAGCAGTAACTGAAGCAGCAATATTATTAATATCTGGGGGAAAAACTACATTATCATTATAATAATTCGTGGAAGCTGACGGGAGTATATCAACATTGGTTTATTCGGATAATTTCGTGGAATTTCGATTTCAAACGAAGGACAGTAGTACCCTGAACCGGTTTATATTGTTACTTTATGTAATGTTTGGTATCTAACCAGTTTAAAGATTAGTAGAACACATGGTCCAGTATGTAAATAATATATGAATTGTAAAAGTTTCGCTCCGTAAAGAGAAAGGAAAAAAAAAGATTTGATAAAATATTAGTTGGCTACTCACCTGCAACTCAACAGAAAACGAACGTCAACATTAATACCAGATGGAGAATTCAACTTTCAATTTTCCAATAATCTAAAACCGGCTACATAATTAATTCCTGCCATGAATGCCAGAAAGCACAAACATGTCATAAAATAACAAACTCCCCTTTAACGTCATTAAAACTTATCGATTTTTAATAATAAGTATATATAAGGACATGTGCTAGATGCGGGTTGCACAAGAGTGAAAGTTTTTGGAGTCTGGGAAGGGAGTGGCCGAAGCCACCATTATCTAACAACAACAGTTCCTCAGAGTAATACACATGGACTGTAAGCACAACACGGTTATTACCATGAGAGTCAAGGTAATCTTAGCTGAAGAAGAGAGAAGTAGACTAAATGAATAATTTTTACATTGGAAAACTCCAGGTATATGGACAGGACACAGGTGTTGGGGAGATGAAATGGAAGAGAACTTCAAGGTAGGTACAGGAATAGGTCACGCAGTATCAGGCCACATACAGTGTTCGAACACCTGCACACAACGCAGATGTGACCATCTAAATCTCTCTTCCTTTGAAAGTCAGTCATGAAGTTATTAATGACTGCAAAAGAATTCAAGATACGAAATTTCTTAGTCAGTTGTTATGTGTCACGTCAATTTTCAACCCAGTGACAGGACGAGACCAGAAATACATTCATTAAATGAAATCATTATTCCCAAAGTGCTGTAACTCACGTGTTTAGCGCTTCCCATAAATATGTTAAATAACAATAATATTAAATAAAACGAGTGATGTTGACTGCTGCTCAATTTTTTTTTTTTAGTATTCCCGAAGCAACACTCCAAGTGGCTGCCTGGATTCTGTGTTTCTTCCTCTTCCTTGTCGATTACATTTCGCTCATAACTCGAGAACCCATTTGATATACCTCTGATGGGTTTCGAAAAATTTTCTACTCCTGGAGCCCGGCCTTGGACCTGGTCAAGCAGGCTTTTGCTGCTCTTGTCAGATTCAGATTCTGAACGTTTGCAGTACCGAATCCCAGATTCAGTGTTACTGAACCCATTCCCAAATACTAGAATGGCTGGGATCATTTCTAAAAACCCTCATTGGTGTAGCTTCAAACGTCATGAAAAAAAAAAGCTGGCCCCTAATTCTTCAACAGTGGAGAGTGAAATCCTAGAAGGTTGGTGCAGATTTCACAATTTTGTGTGTAAAATTGTGAAAATTTTTATTCTCATTTAATAGTCACTATCAAAATATATGCTTCTACCTCTGCTTGGAATGGTTATGCATGAAACACTCGACATGTTGGCATGTTTCAGTCTTGTGTATTGCATGTTTCATTCTTCAACCGAGGTCCTTTTCAGCAGATCATGACAGTCATATAATATTAATCTGGCTGTTAGTATAATTACACTGACACAGAATAGTTAAATTACCTTAAGTTGTAATACGTAAGTCTCCACAACATATTACTAGTATTAAGTATAATTATTACTACTATTTTTAAGATCACATAACCTATAGGGATCATATAGACGCCCATGACAATCATGAGTGTAAATAAGGTCACTGTGTACATCTATGATGGTCTTATCACTAAGATACATGGGTAGGGATACACGAGGTACCGTGTCAGCCTCGGTTCATTATCTAGATAGGTATCAGTCACGTATCAGTTTATTCACCGAGAAGCGCTAAGCTCTGTTCCCTACGGGAACAGAGCCTTTGGAATGGGAAGCAACCAGGTTTAAGCAAAGGAAAGGGAAGAGTAACTCCAATTCGGTGTATCAAGAGACCTTCACTTGCATAAAAGCATTCCCTCTTCATAAAGGGACTAATATCTAACAGCTTACATACAATTCAGTCTCCCATCATGATGGATACACGTTCAGAATCCGACGTTTCAAGTATTATAGTAATTAATAAATAAAAAATCTGCTTCTTACGATTTTTCTCGCAGCAAAATTTTAATAATAAAAGCCATAATACTCTAGTAAAACAATTCACAACCCAAAAATCTTTAATGCCAAATAGATAAAATTTCGGTCCTTCATGGACCATTATAATGGTAGAGGAATTTTTGGTTTAGTGCTGACCATTATAATGGTCCAGCACTAAACCAAACATGCTCAGTTTAAAAAAAACCAGTTTGTAGTTTTAAAAATGAAATAAACGGCATTAATCTACAACAGTATGAAGGCCTCTCATACACATCCAAAACCTCCTCCTCATAATCTTAAACCACAAACGGATGTACAAAGTGGACTGGAAAGACCAACAGAAACATTGATCATATAACCAACATTACCAGTAAGTGGGCCACTATAAGCAACACTAGTGTCAGGAAACACGAGTCATGTTTCCTGACCAATAATGAAAATTTTCTCTTTCCTTCACAACCGAAATCCTTTTATAGCTGGTCTTGTCTTAGGCGTTTTCCAGTCTTGTGGAATTCATTTGTTTTTATGTTAATTGGTACGTTTCTAATTATATTAACAGAGAGAAATGCTAAGATCTTAGATTAAAAGCATCACATATAGAACGTGTGTGTGTGTGTGTGTGTGTGTGTGTGTGTGTGTGGGGTGTGTGTATATATATAAATATATATATATATATATATATAATATATATATATAATATTTTATATATATATATATATATATATATATATATAAATAAACACGTTGGACGAATCTTTTAGGGGGG